GGAAGAGGAGGAGGAGGAGGAGGAGGAGGAGGAGGAGGAGGAGGAGAAGGGAGGAGAAGGAGGAGGAGGAGGAGGAGGAGGAGGCGGAGGAGGAGGAGGAGGAGGAGGAGGAGGAGGAGGAGGGGGCCCAGGCCAGGGCACGCTTTCGGCGCCGCGTGATTGCAGCGGGGGTGCGCTTCGCGCCCCCCTCGGGAGGGGGCCAGGCGTGCCGAGCCTGCCCGGGGTTAAGTCGGGCCTGTCCCTCTACAGGAGGGAAATTCAAAAATAGTCCCCCAACAAAAAAGTCTGGTGACGATTGCACGAAAGTGTTTGACCGTTGTTGTGTTTTTCTTAACAAAAACAAAGTCCAACATCCCCCCGTAGGAGGACAGGCCCGACTTCAGCCCAGGGGCTGCCATCACGGGGCCGTCCTGTGCGCAGACTCGGCCTCTTCGTCGAAAGAGAAGCACTTGCAAGAACGGAAGCTTTCGGAAGTCCAGGCGGGCCTCCGAACGTTTATGCTTGTGCTGTTATTTCCTGTCCTCTTCGGGGGGGGGTAACAAACATCAGTGGCACGCGCGTCGTCCTTCAAGCTGTGCGTGGTGCTCGGTCGCTTTTTATGCGAAAGGTCGGTGCAATTCTTCAGCACTAGCGGCGCCCACAAGGGGGTGGCGCGAGTGGGGCGGCCATCCAAGGAGGCGGGGGGGCTTCCGAGAGTGCACGGGCCTTCTTGGAAGCCCTCCCTGGCTTCCGGGAAGCCTCCTCAGAAGCCGCCAGGGCCCTCTGAGATGACCCCTGCCTTCCAAGAAGGCACCCCGCCGTCTTGGACGCCCACCCCCGTGGGCGCCATCCACCCCTCGTGGGCGCCGCGGGCGACCGACGTGGCACTGCTGCTGTCGTCGCCCCCCGAGCCCTGCCTCCGCCCGCAGGGGCGTCAGGAGAACGCCTGCACCCAATTCGATGCCCCGGGAGGGGGGGGCCCTCGGCGGCCCCCGTCTCCGTCGGGGGCCCACGGTCGAAGGAGAGAGGAGCGCTGCACGCGGCAGGCTCGTGTGGTGCCGACGCGAGGTGTTCGATCCGGGGCCCCCTGTGGAACGAGACCGCCTAGAGCTCTCGCGCCGAAGACTCCCAGAGACCACGGGGAGCCGCCGAAGTCCACCGACGGCCACCGAAGACCGCGGAAGACCCTCAGAAGGTCGCCGAAGACCAACCCGGGCCGATTGGATTAACATGGGGTCCATGGTCGAGCACGTAGCCGACCTGGCAGCGACCCTGCCGCGGGCGTTCAAGGCTGGACACCGCCAGTGGCCCAGAAGCGGCCCATTTGGAACGGTCTGCCGGTCGGAAAGCCGCAGGCGTGTCAGAGTCCAGTGCCGGGGTCGTCACGCCACGAAGCTGCCGTAGACATAGATTTTCGAAGGTCCGCGCGGAGTTCTTGGATCTGCGCTCTGGCCCCTTGGCGGCGCCCTCGTCGCCGCCCCTGGCCTGGGCCATCCAGCGCCGATCCAACAATTTCCGCGCGGACCTCCGACAACTTACGTTTATGCGGGTACCTTTTCTCCTTCTGATTGGGCGATCGGCCCTCTGCATCGGTGCACGCTGTAACCCTACGCCCTCCTGCCGGCGACCGCTTCTGGCTCGCCGCCTGCGTCGGCACGCTCGACCTGCGCCACCCCATCAGGAGAGAGAGGCCAACGCGGCACGGTGCCCGACGACGACGACGACGACGACGACGACGACGACGACCAGGACAAGTCGCCCGCGGGGGGCGCGAGAGACACATCGCGCCTCCGTTTCAAGGTCCGCACGGTTCTGGCACGAGAGTTGTCCTTCTCTCCGAGGGTCGGCGTGGGAGCGCAGGGGTGATGACATCGCGTTTCTGGGCCTCTCGGGCAGCGCGGGCCGCGAGCTTGTGACACTTGGTGGAGGGATGGGGGAGGAGCTATCCGTTGAGCTAGCCGTAGGTTGCTGCACTCCGCGGGGTAGCGGCCACCCCGCGCCGTGTGCCAACACCCCTCAGGGCCTAAAGTCCATCGGCGCTGGGGGGGGGGGCGTTGTCCCTCAGGACTTGGCCCTGCGGGGCAAGCCGCAGCCCGGAGAGTTAGAAGAGGGACGGCCAGATGGGTGACCCGCGGGGTGGGGAAGAACGAGGAGAAGGAGGAGAAAGAGGAGTCTGAATTCCTGAAGTCTAGGGCCCCAGAGCTTATGCCTTGGAAACAACGACCATGGAGTCTAAATAAAGCACTGGGGCCCAGGACCTTGAAGTCGAACGCCCTGGAGTCTAAAGCCCAGGCCCTGGAGTCTCAGGCGCACGAGTCTGGCGCCCAGGAGTTTCAGTCGAGGGTCGCGCGGCCCTGGGCCCTTACCTTTAGGATTAAGTCGGGGCACCTCGCTCTACAGGGAGTATTCAAAAATAGTTTGTTTTGTTTCATACATGTCTGTATGTATATAAAAATGTATATATGTATATATATATACACATATATATATATATATATATATATATATATATGTGTGTGTAAACCTCTTGGGACGATGTTTTGACAATTTTCTAATATTTTTTGAGGTTGTTTTGGGCTATGTTTGATTTCTCGCCCAAAATACGCTTGTCGAGGGAACATTCCCGACCTAACTTCCAGACCCTGAGTCGAAAGCCGTCTGGCACAGGGTCGGCCACGGAGCAGTCGAGGGCGCGCGCAAATCTGGGGCAACCGAGTCTGGGGCCCTGGGGGAGGAGGCCCGGTGCAAACCCGAGACGCATCAGTGGTCTGGCAGTAACCCCTCCCTTCAAGTTTCTGTTCCAGAGGTCCCTGCCAGAGTTGCTTCATTGCGGGAAGCGCCCCATTGGAAGCCAACCGTCTGAGAATCCTCGATCTTGCCGACACACCATACCTGGGACTTCAACGCCACGAATCAACGTGATCGTCGAGCCCTGGCAATCCTGCGTTGTGCCGAAGCACAAACTGGGACTTCAACGTCGCGGATTAATGTGAGTGTTAAGTCCTCACAACCCTGAGTCGTGGAAAGAGCGTTTTATGCCGCTGCTGGCAGGGGGAAGTTCAAATCCCATTCGAAAAACCCGGGAGGGGGGTGTTCCGAACTCCGCCCCTCTGGGAAAATTATGCGGTCCCCCTCCCACCCTTGGCAACGACGACGACGATTTCGACGACGACGTCGTCACCGCCAGCAAACGACGCAGACCACGAGGACGACGACGACGACGAACGATGCGCGATGCACGACGACCACGGCGACGACGACGCCGACACCGACGCCGACAACAACTACGACGACGACCACGACGACGGCGACGACGACGACGCCGACGCCGACGACGACGACGACGATCGAGCTCACGCGGGATACGATTATAGCTGGATCGCGCCCTAGCAGGATTCTTTGAACAAAAATCTGGATTGAACCGTGTTAGAATTGTGTCGCAGCTGGATCCAGGCCTACTAGAATTTTTTGAAGGATTGATCGAGCCCTAATCTGTTTTTTATATGAGGGATGCAGCCGCCTTCACACGATTCTGTTACAGCTGGATCCAGCCGTAGCACGATCGCATTAGAGTTGGATCGACTTAGTACGGTTATGTTAGAGCTACATCGATCCCTCGCAGGATTCTGTTAGAGCTGGATCGAGACTTGGTGGAATTCCATCAGAGCTGGGTCAAACCCCAGTGGGATTCTGAGAGAGCTCGACCGACGCTTTAAAAGATGTTGTGAAAGCCGGATGGGGTCCCACCAGGATACTGCCATTGTTGGATTGAGCCTTCGTAGGGTACGATTAGAGCTGAATCCAGTCCTATAGGAGTCCCTTTAGAGCTGGACCCAGGCATACTGGGACTCCGTTAGAACTGCATCGACCCCTAGTGAGTTCATTTTAGAGTTGGACTCAAACATAGCAGGATTCCACTTGAGCTGGATCAAGGCGTAGTAGGATTTCATTCGAGCTGGATCCAGCCCTTATAGGATTGAACCAAGGCTGTCGTGAGACTTAGTAGGATTCCACTGGCGCTTGTGATTCTAAATATGGATCGAGCTTTTGTATGCTTAAATATGACTTGAGCGAACCCTATCCGGATTCTTTGAAAGCTGGATCCAGCGTTAGTAGCAGGCTTCTAGTAGAGCTAGATCGAGCCCTGGTAGGATTCTGAGAGAGTTGGATCGAGCCCCAGTAGCTTTCTGTCGGGGCCTGCGTCTGGCGCGGGCTCCGGCGACAGGGCCAGGCGCGCCGCCGCCGCCGCCGCCGCCGCTGAATGCGCCGCCGTCGTCGGCGTCGTCGAAGGCGGCGCCATCGTCGTCGTTGCCAGCCGCGGGGGGGGGGGGGGCCTGAACCGCCCCGGCAATTTTCTGGGGGGGGTTCTGAGCCCCCCAAACAGACAATCACTTGGGAGGGGCGTCTGGACCCCCCGCGCGCCGCGCGCATGCGCGCCGCGGGGGCCCCGCCAGGGCGGATCGCGGCGCGCCTCGGGACCGCGCGCGACGCGGGCGTTGGAGCCCGCGTCTCGCCGACGCAGTCTCGCGGGGATCGCTGCGACGCGCCGCATTGGCAGGCGCTTTCGCGAGGCCAGTGCGCTTGCGACGCGCGAGCAGGCTCTTGCACCCAGAGCTACGCCCACGCAGTCGTGCCCGCAAATTGCAGCTCGCGACGGCGCCGGCGCTAGCCGCCGCGCGTTTCGCAAGCGCCGAGCCATTCGAGGAAAGGTCGGCACATGCGCGGGACGCATGCGCGCCGCAGCGCCGCTCGCGACCTCCGCCGCCCGCTCGATAGCCAAGAAGGCCCAGCAAGCGCGGCCGGGCAGCTGTCGAAGGCGCGAGCAGCAGTCCTCCTCGGCGCACGCCCACCCTCCATCGTTTCTTTCGTGGGCGGCGCGGCGGTGCGCTCCCAGCATCTGCAGACGGGCTGCTCGCACGGCCATTGCCTTTTCGTTCAGACCAGACGTTTTCCATATATCTCGCGCACGTCGAGCTGACTTGTCAGATTCGCGGCCACCCTGTGGACGCATTTCGCGGCACGCCGCTTCTCCGCGCCAGATGGGCGATTCGCAAGCCCTGCGCTTTCCTGTCCGGGGCACCCACGTCCATTCGGGAAGACGCAGTGCGCGCGCAATTGAAGTGAACGACCGGGCGGCACGAGTCCGCCGTCTCCGCTCAGCTTTCTCTTGTCGCGTACGTTTTCCTCTTGCGCCCCCGCGCCGGGGCCTGAGATATTTCGTTCGACGGCGTCGCCTTCCGCTCGGGCGCGGGATCCCCCTTCACGTTGTGCGACGCCCCCTTGCAGTTCAAATTGGCGCGTCGCGAGACAAGGCGCTCGGCCCCGCGCTGCAGGGGGCGCGCCGGCGCGCTCGCTGCGCCGCGACGCGCCCAGCCCACGCGCCCAGCCTGCGCGCTCGGCGCCTGGTCCGCGGATCTGCCCGTGAGCGCCAAGCTGCGCGAGGGCGCTCGCGCGGCGCGCTCTTTGCGCGCGCCGCGCCCGCGCCTCGGTCTGCCCAGCGTCAAAGACGCAGCGCTCCGTCGCGCTCGCGGCGCGCGGCGCGCTCGCGCATTGGACCATCAGCAAAGGGGGGGCACTCTGCGCGGGATCCTTCAGGCGGGCGAATGGCCCTCGCCCGCCGCCATGCCGCACCTCGACACGACGCAAGTAATATCCGGCGCAATAGTCGAAGCGCACCCGGCCGAGTCCGAGGACGGGTTGGTCAAGGCGCTGGCGGCCGAGGCGTCGCGCGCTGCCCTCGCGCGCTCTTGGCCGCCATTGCGCGCGACGTCATCGCGGCGCCGTCGCGCGCGCCGCCCGTTTTCGCGAGGGGCGCGCGCGCCGCGAGCATCGCCGCCGCGCGGCGCATTCGCGCGCATCGGCTGGGGGCGCGTGCATCCCTGGCGCCCCGCGCGTCGGCGCAGTCCGGCACCGCCGGGCCGGGCGGCGCGGGGGGGCCCGCGCCCGTTGCCAACGGGGGCGCATGCACCCACGGGCGCGGGGGGCCGCCGGCGCAGCTGGAATCTGCGGTGGGCTCGCAGCGCCAACGAAAGCGCGCGCGCACTTGAGATGCGCCGCGCGCGGGCGCACTCCTCGCGCGGGCCGCCCCCCGCTCGCCCGCGCCTCGCGGCGCGCGGCCCCGCCAGAAGGGCGCGCGCGGCGCCCTGCCAGCACCTGGCGGCGCGAGGCCCCGCGAGGAAGACTCACGCGCGCGCGGCGCGAGGACGCGTGGCGCACGCGGCGCGCGCGCGTTCACCGCTTGCTCGTCTTCTTGCATTGCTGCGCGCGCTGCGCGCGGCCGCGTCGCGGGGGCCCTGCCCCGCCGGGGCGGATCGCGGCGCGCCTCGGGGCCGCGCGCGGCGCAGGCGTTGGAGCCTGCGTCTTGCCGACGCAGTCTCGCGGGGTTCGCTGCGACGCGCAGCCTCGGCAGGCGCCCTCGTTTTTGCCCGCCCCTCGGAGGGGCGGGCAAAAACGAGGGGCAGTTGCGCCCCTGGCGACGGGAGCGCAGGCACTCGCGGGCACGGGAGGTCGCCGGCGCAGCTGGCACTTGCGCGCGCGCGCGGGGGGGGGGGAGTCATGGGGGGGCCTTGGGCAGAAGGGTTTGAAGCCAGGTTTGAAACCCCTGGGTTGTTTTTTCAATTGCTGTCGATGCGCTCCAATGTTTCCTCGGCGCTGATAAGAGGAATTGTTGTGAACGCTTCTTGGGCGTCCCGAGAGGCCTCTTGGGCGTCCTTGGAGGCTTCTCGGGCGCATCGACAGGGCTCCTGGGCGCCCCGAGAGGTTTCTTGGGCGTCCCGAAAGTTATTGGGCGTCCCCAGATGTGTTTCGGGCTTCCTGGGGGGCTTCCTGGGAGGCTTCCTGGGCCTCCCGAGAGGTGTCTTGGGCCTCCCGAAGTGTCACTCTTGCGTCTCGAGAGGCTTCTCGGGCGTCCCGAGCGGCCTCTTGGGTGTCCGAAGCGGCCTGTTGGTTGGGAAGAAATCTTATTGGATTCCAAGAGGGACCCGTAAAACGAATCAGTCGGATCCAATTTAAAGAAACATTCGGGCTCCAATCGGCTTCCGATCGGATGCAAACAGGAATCCAATATGAAAGAATCCGACTGGATCCCAGTCGGGTTCCAATCGGAAGCCAATTAGATTACAATTGTAATGGTACTATTGAACCCCAAGTGAAGCCCAACCGGGTCTACAATCGGATCTTCGCTGGGTCACAATAGGTACTCATTATGTCCTCCACCGTTCACTCCATTCAACAGCCAGTTAACTTTTCAACTTGGTACGCCAGCCTCTCTCCAAAAGCCAAAAGTATGATGTCGCCAGGATTCCGTTTCGATTGGAACCGCACTGCATTCCAATAGGGTCCCACATCGGATTCCAGGGTGCCAACAGGATCACATCAGGATCTACATCGGATACCAATGCTGACAAATCATGTTGGATGCCATAGCGCACTAACAGGATGCCAGTAGGAGTCCTATATGCAAGATTCGCGCTGGATTCCGCGAGGAGGTTTTGTATTCGATTCGAGTCGGGTCGTCACCATGAGGGTGACAGTGTATACAGCTCCGTTCGGTTAGTTCCCGGCAGGAAATCTTCCCATACTTCATGAGATCACCTTGCGGACCCGCATGCGCGTTCTGAGCTGCAGGGTTGTGTTTGCTTTTGACCGGAATTTCAGACGAATGCCCGGGATTAAACCCTTTTTTTTGCCAGAACTATAACTCTTTTGCCAGGGATTACATTCAGGGGGTCGTCCCCTGGCTTCCAACCTTTTTTAAACATTCTATGCGGGGGGAAAGGGGGGCCGTGGTTTCTGACCACCGAATGGTAATGGTTTGGTGAAGGCCAGCGATGGTGGATCGCGTTCCTTCAGATCGCGTCACAGAACAGCTCGTTGGACATCAACCATACGAAGCGAGAGACACATGTTGAAAACAAGCCGCCTTCTATCTTTGAAGTTGATGCTACCTTTTAAGTCGACTGCTTGTTGCGCTAGGGGGAGGGCCATATTTTGAAAACCAGCCGCCCTCCATCGTTGACGCTGCTGCATTTTTCTACGAATGTGCGCCGCGCTATCAGGATAGCCACATGTTGAAAACCAGCCGCCCTCCATCAGTTGTAACGTGTTGGGGTAAATGTTCGCGGGGCTTCGGCGAGAGCCACATGTTGTAAATCTGCCATGGCGCTTGTTAATGTCAAGCTTCTGGAAACACATGGTTTAGAAGTCTGACACGAAACGCCCAACCCGCCTTCCCGAGACACGTCTAGGGGTAGGAGGAGGGGAATGAGGAGAGAAAACGCGCACCGGCACCATCGCCCCCTTGGCACGCCGACGATCTTGCAGGGACAGGTATGATATACACCCTTCCCGTGCCCACCAACATTTCCGCACCGGAGATCCCTCGCCACTTCCAGCGCCTGGATCACGACGACCACGCAGCCCGTGTACGCCGAGGGATCGGCGAGCTGGCGTCTGGAAGCTGCTTCTGTTTGGCCGCTGGGGGCCGCCAAGGGAAGCGGCGTCGAGGTGAAAAAGAACGGCCCTGGGAGTCAGAGATTTCCCGGGCCCGCGCACCAGAACCATTCGGCCTGCCGGAGCTTTGGCCAGGTCTCCGGAAGCCGGGATTTTTTGCAAGCCAGGACCTTGCCAGATCCGGCTGGAGGGAGAGTCGTGGGCGGGGGACATTCACATCCACGGCCTCGCGGGCTGGGCCCTTGGGTCGCGCCCCCATGGATACGGTGCATTTGTTCGCGGATGCCCCGCGCGGAACGTATCCATGTGACCGCGTATCCACGGGATCGTTTCGTAGCTCGCTCCTGTGCGCTCTCGTGCGGAATTGAGTCCGCTGCTCGTTGGCCGCGTTTCTTGACGGCGCCTGGCATTCTTGCGCGCTCGCGAACGGAAAAAGCATCCACGGGATCGCGTGTCAGAATCCAGACCGCGAGCGCGCGGAGACGGATGCGGATCTGCATCCGCCGCACGTGCGACGGCCGAGGAACTTGGAGAGTGCGTCGGCCCGCGGCTGCAGCTCCCTCGGGTGCGCCACCGCTCCGGCGCATGAAAGCCCAGGCCCCCCCAGGGGTGTAGGCTTAAGTCGGGCCCGTCGCTCTACAGGAGGAACATTCAAAATAGCAATGTAGAAAAATGGTCTGGGGACTATGTTTGGAGTATTGTTTGACCATGTGGGAATATTGTTTGACTTTTTTATTTCTCGTCCAAGATCCCCCTGTAGGGGGACACGCCCGACCTAAGTGTAGGCATGATCGCGCACCGCGCACCGCGCTCTGGGCTGGAGCGGTGCCCTTCTCCGAGGCAGCCGCGCGAGGGCGGCGAAGATGGCCGAGCGTCGCTCATCGCGCCCCGCGATGCGCGAACCCTTGCGACCCAACAGGGGATTCAGCTGAAAGGGGGCGGTGCAATAGATTTGGGGCAATTACATTGCAAATGTATTGCGCCAGGGAAGCGTTTTGCATCGTATTGCAACTAATGCACCGCACGCGAAACCCAGCAATACATCTGCGCCCCAGAATATATTGCACGCCCCAAATCGGTTGCAACCCCACGACGACTGTGGGCGAGCCCCCGGTCACGGGGCCCCGACGGGTGCACCGCGCCTGGCCCCCAGGAAGCTCGCTGGAGCCTCGATGGGGGATGGGGCCCTGAGCGCTGGCGGGCCGGCGGTGCGCGGCGTCGGCCCTTCGGCGGTTCGCCCCCCCTCCGTCCCGAGAGGGCGTCCTGGGTGCAACGCCGCCGGCGGCCGCATTGCGCAGGAGGGGCCAGCATCGAGACTCTCTCCCTTCGGAGGTCTGCTTGGCATCGCTCGGACGCGTGCGCCGTGTTCTGGGCGAGGACCATCGAGGAGCACCCTGGGTCGTCGGACAACCAGAAAAGCACGCGTCAGACCAGAAACCAAACAATGCACGGAGCATGGACGTCCGAGCGCTGGCGGGTCTGCGATCGCGTACGTGCTGGGCGGCCAGCGCGACCTCCGCGGGCGGCGGGGCGTCGGAGCGGTCGCCGGTCGCGGCTGCAGGGGGAGGCGCATGGTCTGGGCGGCCAGACCGTCACTGGGAGGAGGGGCAGCGTTCGGGGGGGACAGTCGGTGTACGGTGGGAACGGGTACGGAAATCAGAGGAGGGCGAGTTGGGACAGCGATAGTTGGCCTCGGGGGGCCCCCCTCGTCGCCACGGCTGGACGCAGCTCTGAGAACGGGTGCGTCTGGACCCTGGGAGGGGTCCGAGGACCGATCTGAGCTGCCGTTGTCTCAACCCGCCCGAGGAAAGATTGCGAGCGAAGTACGACAGCAGCCCTTGTCCGTTTTGAGCAGGGATCGCTGTCAGAGTCGCCGCGGACGCTGCCCGCTTGAGGCAGGAAGTCGCCCGGCCAGCAGCGGCGGCCTGTCGGGTTCGGACCACATTTGATTCAGAGGCGACGATAGGGGCGAATAGCCCAGGGGAGAGCAATACATGTATCCAGGGGCGCCGATGATCTATGTCTTCGACAAGGCTCCTGGGCGAATACGTGTAATGCCCGCCCCTGGGCTGCTATTCGCCCTTTTCGTCGCCGCCGACTGCTGTTGGGCAGTGTACCCTTTCTGCCCGTACCCCTCCTGGGCGCGCCAAGATGGGCTCACGGGAGGGCGCACCGACCCCGCATCGCCCACGCCTCGCCGACAGGGGCCCCACGGCCCCGCCCCGCCCAGGAGCCCTGGGGCTTCGCCATCGGGGGCGCATCGCCGATCTTCTGTCGGGCCGAACGAAAGGGGGGGGAGAGGGAAAGGGGGGCTCACGAAATCTGTGGCATGCAGCTGGTTTCGGCCCCGCCGCCAGGCCCACTCCTCGACACATGGGCGCCTCCTGGCGCCGGGAGGCGCCGGGAAAATCAGCTAAGTGAGCTGATTCTCAAACCCCCCCTTTGCTATCCCCCCCTTCGCCCGGCCCGACTCTAGGCCTCCCAGATGGGCTCCGAGCAGATAGGGTCGGAGGACCGCGCCGCATCGCCGATGCGTCGGCGACGCGGCTCGATGCGGAGCCCGCTTTTCTCCGCGCCGACGTCGCAGAGGCGTCGCCGACGTCGCCGAGGCAATCGCCGATGCATCGGTGATGCACGGGCGATGTGGCGCGATCCTTCGGCCCCGTCTATTCCGACCCCGTTCGAGAGGCCTCCAGATCCATCGGCGAGGTATCACCGATTTCAGGTCCCCTGAGCCGGTTCGCCCCCAACGTTCCCCTCTCCCATTCCGTCGGGGGCGGCGCGGGCAACACGCGCCTCCCGCCCAGGAGCGCCGTCCCTCGAATCCAGGCGCCGTGAAAAAAGTTGCGGCGGGCGTTTTCTCTCACAGGAGTGGGGAGCATGCAGCCAAGACTCGAGGGAAGGAGCACTGACCACGGCCAGGATGTCGCGGGATCTTGTCGACGCCGATCTCGGTCGTGGTCCATGCTCGCCGTCCCCGATTCGCGAGGATGGTCCACGAATTGGCGCTGACCAAGATGGACGGTGAGCAAGGTCGACACGACGTTTCCGCGTTCAGTCTTGGTCATGGTCCCCGTCCTCGGCCTCCCCAGGGACGGCGAAAGTGAGAGCCGCTCTGGGCTCCTGGTGACTCTGGTGCTTGAGGGCCGCTTTTCTTCCAATGGCTGCACCGATGCCGATGCCCCTCCTTCGCTGCCGCCCTCTTGGCCCTCCTGGGGGGGGGGGCCCGCCGCCGCGGCTGGCTGCGCCTCGGGATCCTGGCCAGAGCGCAGCCTAGAGAGGCCCGGATGGCGCCGCTGCGTCCGCAGCCGTGCGTGCTCCCCGTCCCGGGCCCCGGGGCCCTCGCGGCTGCGCCCAGTGCGGGAGCCGCCGCAGGGAGATGGGAGGGGGCGGGGCGGCTCCCATCGCGGCTCTTCGCCTCCTCCTCCGCCTCCTCCCCCTCCGCCTCCACCTCTTCCACCTCCGCCTCGTTGCCCCCCCCACTGAGCCGGCTCTTTAGCACATGGGCCCGCCTCGCCACATTGCGCGTGCGCGCTCGGTCGGGTACGCTTCTTCGTCGTCTTCGTCGTCGTCTGCGGCGGCGTCGTCGTCATGGAGATCGTCGTCGTCGTCATGGCGGTCTTCGTGTTTGTCGTGGTCATCGTGGTTTTCGTGTTCGTCGTCGTCATCGCCGTTGTCGTCGTCGTCGTCGTCGTCGGCATCACCCAAGCATGCCGCGTATGCTGCGTGGGCGTCAGCCCCGCGGGGGCGACGCGGGCACTCTGAGATCCGACAGTACAAAAGCCGAGTGGCGGGCGCTCGGGCATCGATATGCATTGACATGCTTGTGCTGCATGTTCGGTTCGGCCGTGCGCATCCCACATGAGCACATAGTATCTCGAGAGAAACTTCGACTAGACGTAAGAGTGACCCTTCGCCGGAGTGACCTTTGGTGCGAGCACAGATGGTCCTCAGATGGCTGAAAACGAAGCGGCAGCAGCGGCTTGCGCGCCCAGGTTTGGTCCCCGCGCGGCCCCCGAAAGGCCGCGCACCAAAGGTCACTCTTACCCAGGGTCACTCTTGCGTGTAGCCGAAAACTGTGGGACTCCTTCCGTGAAGCTGCTGCGAGTTCCGGCGCCGCCGGCTCCCGGCAGTCTGTGCGGCGCGGCGGCGGAGAGGGAGGCGAAAGGGAGCGAGAGGCGAGCAGACGAAGGCAAACGCGCAGGCGGGAGGCCAGGGCTGGCGGGACGAAGCAGGCGGGAAGGGACGCGGTGGCGCGGTGGGGGTGTTGGGGGGGGGGGAAGGCACGCCCAGGGGAGGGGGGAAGGCAGGGGGGGCCAGTCGGCCTTCTCGGAAGGTGGCTGAGCTTCTCAGGCGCCCTCCAGCCGTCGAAGGGACCCCGAGAGGCGCCGGAGAAGGCGCAGTGCGCCCCTCCGAAGGTCGGAGGCCTTCTGAGCCTTCCTAGAAGGCCAGCCCCTTTGCCTTCCCCCTCGGGCGCGCCGCCGAGTATGTCCCTCTCCGCTATTTTCTCCCCCTTGGGCGGCCGATCGCCCCTCCATGCACCGCGCGGGCGCACGTGGCTGCGCCTTCCGCCCAGGGGGTCCGCCTGGCACCTCGCGCAGGCGACCTTAGCGACCACCCCCCTTCCGCTCTCCCCCCCTTCTCCGTTCCCCCTCTCCCTGCCCGCCCCTTCGCCTTCCCCCCGCCCTTCCCCCCGCCCCTTCCTCTTCCCCCGCTTACCCTCTGCGTTCGGACCGTGCGAGTAAGCATTCGCTGAGGCTTCCTGCGAAGCCCCACAAAAGAGGACTCCCGCTCCCCCCCGCTCCGCCTCCCCCGCCCTGCACCCCCAGGCACCACAGGTCCCACGGATCCCACAGCCTCCGCAGGTCCCACAGGTGTCGCAACTCTCACAGGCCCCACAGGCCTCACAGTCCACAGAGGACCCCCAGGTCGCACAGGACTTTCAAGTTTCCTTTTGCCGACTGCACAACAAGGTGGGGTCCCTTGTGGAGTTCCAGGTCGGCTACGACACGCGTCCGCGGATGGAGAAACATTCAGCGCAATGGGAAGGGATGAGAGGGAGGGGTAGGATGTCAAATGTGGCGCGAGCGCACCTAGCTTGCCCTCCCCCTCTCAGACTCTCCCCTCTCCCCCTCCGCTGATCCGTTTCGGTTCCAGGCGGCAGGGCGAGGTTGGTGTGCCCGCCGAGACCGCCTCCCCCCCCCTCCCTTTTCCCTTCCTGCCTCGTCCCTCCCTCCCTCCTCCCCACTTCTCCTCCTTCCTCCCCCCCTCCCTGCCCTCCCCTTCCCTCCCTTCTCCCCCCCCCTCCCCTCCTTTCCCCTCCCTTCTTCTCCTCCTCCCCTCCCCTCCCTTCTCCTTCTCCTCCCCCTCCTCCTTTTTCTCATCCTCCTCCTCTTCCTTCTCCTTCTCCCTCTCCCCTCCCTTCCTCTTTCCCTCCTCCCTTCACTCTTGGGCTGCCTCGCTGGTCGAGTCGTGAGTACTCGGATGCGTGCTCTTCTTGTCTTCTTGCTCTTCCCCGTCGCCTCCCCGCGTTCGCGCTCGGACGTATAGGTTTGTCCATCCTTCCTTCCCCCTTTTCTTCCTTGCCTTCCCTCTGTCCTCGCTGCCACTTCAGCATTTACCCCCAGCTATCGACCTCCAGTTTCACACGCCCACACTTCATTTCCTACTTACTCGACCTGGCCAGATTGACTTCCAACCAGCACCCAGCCGCATAACTCCAGCTCCCGACACCACCTCAGCATTCCGACTTCCAGCTTCTGGCTTGCAGCCATCAAGGTCTTCGTGTGAGTCAGAGCTTCCAAGTTCGGCAAAGCGCGAGATGCCACGGCCTCACGCGCTTTGCCCAACCGGGTACAGACGCTGGCTCTGCCGCACGAGCCTGCACTGGCGCCTCCTTCCCTCCTCCCTCCCTCCACCCTCGCTGGACCCCTCGACCCGTCCTGCCGGGATATCGCCTTCTTTGGCGCGCGGGGCCAGGAAGTGGCCCTTATAGAGGTCGACTGCGGCGAAGCCTTCCGTCGTGCGTTCCCCCCTCCGCCCGCCACCCCTCATCTCCAAGAGCACCAGGATCGAATTCGCCGGCCCCACGGGCCAGAGGCGTGCTATAAGATCCACAGTAACAAATTAACGATTAATTCTAGTTCGCTCGCGCGTGGCGGGCTCCTGGTGGTCCTGGAGCGAATCGTCCCCCGGGAAGGTCCCGGCAGATCCCGGGCAGGGTTCCGTCAGAGATGCCGGATCTTTTGGGCGCGGCCTCGGGGGCCTCTGGAGCGATCCAGGAGCGGCCCAAGGAGTCGCCAAATAGGTGGCAGGCCCCACGGCCTGAGGCCAAGAGCGCTCCAAAACGGCCCCAGATGGCCTCCAGATGGCCGAAGATGCCCCCATCAGGACCCAAGAGGCCTCCAAGAGGCGTCCCAAGAGGGCCCCAAGGGGTACAAATCATCGATTTTCCATTAGTGTTTGAAGGACTTCGGCGTTCTCGCCTTCTGAGCTTCCCCACGCTCCCAGACGGCCCAAAAACCGTTCCCAAGACCGCCCCAAAACGACTCAAGAGCTTTCGAAGAGGGCCCCAAAACGGCCCAAGAGGGCCCCAAGACCGCCCAAGCAGCCTCCAAGACGGTCCAAGAGGCTCCCCAGATGGCTCCAAGAGAGGGCCGAGATTGCGCACCCGAACGGACAGTTCAAGCTTTCTGCCCCAACATGCCCCCAGGAGGCCCCCAAGAAGCCCCAAGAGGCCCTTCAAAGGCCCCCGGGAAGCCCCGTGAGACCCCCAAGAGGCCCCAAAACGCCGTCACGAGGCCTCCCCAGAAACCCCCACAAGCCTGCCAAAAGCGACTGCCCAGACAACACCGCAGGAGGCTGCGACGAACCCCCGAAACAAACTCCACGGGCACTGCGTCACCTCCAACGCACCGCACGCACCCCCTCGAGAAATTACCTTGTGACGTACCCAACCCATTTGTATCATGGGAAACGAGGAGTTGGCCGAAACTTGCACGGACAATCAAATTGCAGGATCCGTTGTTTGATATGTAAGCTACTTGGGACACGCGCCAATGGCAAGATGCGCAGGAGAACCATACAAGAACGAGGGGCGACAACTACAGGCTCGAAGAGGACATGGGGAGTCGGGAACGAAGAGCAGGAGAAAGACGTGCGGGAAGCCCATTGTGCTGTGCCCCTCAGCAGCCCTCGAAAGTGGCGACAGCTTCACACATCGCAGCCCCCCAGGGATGGCGAGGTCTAATCTGAGTCTGCGGTGAGTACCCACTGTGCTGGGCCCCTCAGCAGCCCTCGAAAGTGGCGACAGTTTCACAGATCGCAGCCCCCCAGGGATGGCGAGGTCTAGTGAGTCTGCGGTGAGTACCCACTGTGCTGGGCCCCTCAGCAGCCCTCGAAAGGGGCGACAGTTTCACAGATCGCAGCCCCCCAGGGATGGCGAGGTTCCATTTGAGTCTGCGGTGGGTACCCACTGTGTTGGGCCCCCCAGCAGCCCTCGAAAGTGGCGACAGGTTCACAGATCGCAGCCCCCCAGGGATGGCGAGGTCTAACTTGAATCAGCCGTGGGTACCCATTGTGCTGGGCCCCCCAGCACCCCTCGAAAGTGGCGACAGCTTCACAGATCGCAGCCCCCCAGGGATGGCGAGGTCCCATTTGAGTCCGCGGTGAGTACCCACTGCGCTGGGCCCCTCAGCAGCCCTCGAAAGTGGCGACAGTTTCACAGATCGCAGCCCCCAGCAGCCCTCGAAACGCAGCGGCGAGCGAGGTAAGAAAGTGGCGACAGTTTCACAGATCGCAGCCCCCCAGGGATGGCGAGGTCCCATTTGAATCCGCCGTGGGTACCCACCGAGCTGGGCCCCCCAGCAGCCCTCAAAAGTGGCGACAGTTTCACAGATCGCAGCCCC